GAAAAGCACATTGGCAGGAGGAGATTACGAAGTTGCAGAAGCATCGCCAAGTCCTAGTTATGTTAGAGAGCAGACCACCGTGAACTGTATCCATACATCTGACAAACAACAATCGGTTTGCAGTAATCACATTGCCTTGGCTTTAATGGAGCAGTTTGACGTCTTTGGGAAATGTGCTCATTTCCTTTCTTGCCGAAACTTGGGGAAACAGCTAAACTTGCTCGATCCAAAAGTAATAAAACCCGCCCTCCAAGCACCTGAAAAAGACACACATTATATCTTGTTTGCAGGGGGATACATTGGCATTTGTAAGGTTGGGTATGGAAACCATTGGCCATGTGGTCTGGATGTGGCTTTGTCAACGGAACAGTTTCTGGACAGAGATGTTGTTTTTGAATTTTGTTAAAGAAATATTCTATTCACCTCAATAATCGGATAATTGGGTGAATCAACTCATTAAATCTGAAGCACTGTGAACTGTATATATGCCCTAACTCAAATACATTGTTATATTATACATTTATATAAATATATTTTCACTGACGCATCTATACTGCTTAATAGTTTGGAATAAATTATGTTTTTCTTTAGGATTCTACAATCTGTTGCAATATTTTCTATTTATTTTATTTTGGATGTAATGCTTCCAACAGCAAAACTGAAAACTCCTTTATCTTAATACTCATACACCACTTTTATTGTTCATTATCAAATAGTGTAACTGTCACAAAACCCAATTACCCCCACAATGAATACAATGTTCTTATTCTGATGATTGCATATAAATCTACTTAAATCACCAGAAAACATTTTTATGTTGAAAATAAAATATGTACCAACAGCTTTGATGGTGCTCGACTAATCCACTTCCTAAATATTTGACTATTTAAACTTAAAATCTGTGTCTTATCGCTTACCTGTTTGTGGTGCATAAAAGCAGGTTAATAGAGCAACTGTAAAACCACATTGCCACGTCAGAGGATTTCAATAATGAAGTTTGTGCCCCATGCGTACATTCTGCACAGCCCCTCTTTCCATTTGGAGCCATGCTTATCGATCCCACTGTGTGTAATGAGCTGTGTAATGGCCACAGTTATTTAATAAAGTTAAAGAAAGTAGCCTTCATTTGTTTGTTTAGCGTGAGTTTGTCTGCAAGCATCATGGGATTAAGATAGCTGATACTCAAGATATTACTGAGTGTCCAGCAGGAAATTGCCTGGATCCATCCCTCTGAATTACTTTATTGTTTGTTTCCATCACCCCCTGCAGATTTTCCCAAATCGCTGCAATGTTGTGTTTGACTTTGCTTTTCTCTAAGGGGATGGATAAGCAAGTTGGCACAAAACCCTTTGAAAAAACATTGTTTGTGCATAGTTCAGGCCTTAATGTGGCTCCAGGATTGTTGGGTTTGCAGATTTTAATATGCACTCCACAAACACTCCTGAATATCTGAGACTTATATTAGCAACCGTTATACAAATCAAAGGCTTAATACAGATAGACGATCACAATATTAAAGGGGCCCTATTGAGTTTTCCCTTTCCTGTTGTGTGTCATAGACGTTTGTGCATGGTCTGCAAAGGCTAACATCCCTGTGTTTCCTCCAGAGGGAGTTTCTCTACAACACACTCCCCCCCTGCCTGATAAGCCTCCATTGGACTTCTTTGTTTACTTCCTTAACATAGGGACATCACTATGTAACACTTGCGCTTCGATTGGCTAGCTTGACAACACATTGTACATCACATCATCACATGTTACTTGTTAGATGCTTTTATCCAAAGCGACTTCAATATTGTGGGCAATCCCCACAGGAGCAATTTGGGGTGAAGTGTCTTGCCCAGGGACACAACGACATGCTGACTGCAGTGGGGTTTGAACCTGTGCTGCCCTGATCCCAACACCAACGCACAACTCACTGCACCACACGCCTCCCTTGTATGTGATAAGGGACATCTCTCAAGTGGTTGACTAATCACCAAGAGCTGGCCAGCTAACCAATGAGAGCATGGGCTCCTGGTTTCAGACAGAGGGTGAAAAGAGGTATACAGCACATGCAGTATGAGAAAAATAAAGCACTTTTGAACATTAAAGCATGGAAACCTGTCACAGTATAATGCAGAAAATACAAATATGAACCTGAACATTAGCATAATAGTAAAAATAAACACACTGCATATTATTTAAAGGATAAGGTTTTTGCACAGTAAATGATCAAAGAGTCAAGTCTGTATTTGACATGTTTTAGGATGTAAGATGCAAAACAACAGTTGTCTGGAAAGAAAGCTGAACAAAATCAGAAGGGACATTTAAATGTTTTTTCAAAAATACTATCTCAAGATTGTCTGGTCAAAACAAGAGAAACCAAAGCAGTTTGGCCTTGACATCAGTGTTTAAAACACATGCTTTCTTGTCATTTTGGATTTATACTTGTGGTGTTTAACCTATATAAGAATGCTTATTGGCTTTGTTGAAGATTCTTCCCACAGCTTCCTAATTTAATATTGAGTAATAACATGTATTATTGCCTGCACATCAAATCCAACTCAAACTACACTGAAAATTGACAACATCGTGCATGTGTTTATGTTACACAGAGGAGCAATTATTTCGTTATAATCATTTCGCACAAAAGTAAAGTTGGAAGGACACAAACCGTTTTTCTGCTCGGTAAAGGACTTTACACAAATGATTAATGCGTTCAGGATGTTAGGAACCTTGACTCAATAGCTTGGAGGACTCAATGCACAACCCAGAGACAAAAAGGTTTGAAGAAAAAATAATCTTTACTTGCAGAAAACAAAATCACTCTTTTAGAGGAAAGAACAAACTGACAAAAGTAAAGCGCTCTCATGGAGGGAAAAAAGGCAAAACACTGACTCTCTTTAAGCAATGGCTTAGATCTGGCTTCTTGGAGCAATGAGACAAGGTGAGTACAAAATAAAACAGGAAGTGGAACATAAACTAAACTAACATGACAAAACTTAACATAATTGACGGGACACAACACAGGAGGGTTGAAACATAGCTTAGCCCCTCCTCAGTGTTAATGATGTTTTCTTTAAATCCTCCAAAACTAAGAATATTATTATTTTAATATATAAGATATTTAACTTACATTGTTTAAAACACTTATCTTGTCCAAAAGTGTTTCCTAATTTAATCAGATATATTATCACCATTATATTAGATGACTTATATAAAACATCCTGAAGTGTTCAAATGCATCACCGATATACACATTATTACCACCAGGAGCTTTGTTTGTATTTGACCGCTTCTGATCAAAGACTAACAAAATATTTGTGGTTTACAAAAGCTGAAGAGATTCTCCCGTTTTGTTCTATGACATGAAAATAAAAACTCTATTTGTGAATGTCTTAAGCTTCTATGTGTCTTAAAAACAGCCGTTGCTAACAAAGGACTAAATGAGACGGAACATCATCACGTCAAACATTAGCCACATTTAGCTTAGCGGAGGTAAAGTGAAGTCATAAAACTATACGACTTTGGAGTTGGCCTCCAAAACAATATCATCCCTACGTATCTGTCTCTCTCTAGAAACAAAGCATTTGTCCTAAATCATACTTAAAATGAAAATACTCAGCAGGAATTCAGAAGTGACAGAATATTCACACACACAGAAAGATCACATAAACTTAAAGAAATGCATATTTTAGGTGCTCACATTAGTGAAAACTGTAATAAAAACAACAAGAACAGAGGAAGTATTTCATTGTGACCTTATAAAGCCAAGGTAGCGGCAGCCAAACTGGCTGGAGTTTTTCATTATATGAATTGAATGATCTAATAGAGACAAATTCCTAAATGGTACTTGTTGCCAAACCGGCCAAATCATTGTATGGGTGCCTTTTTTTACTGCAAAACTTTCTGGAAATGATGCAGATGAAACAAAGAAGGCTTCAGCAGTGTAAGCGCTGTGTTTCCTCTTTTTTTCATTTTAAGGGAGCTGCCACTGAGCCAGAGCGGACTGTGTTAGAAGCACCCACTAAAACAGCAGCTGGCCACAGTGAGTGGTGTCTGTTTATGACTCATTTCTACCTGCCATCAGGCGGCGGGGAGAAGTAGGAATTGAAGAGAGAGAGCCCAGTGGTAACAAGGGAAGAATTGTGTGAAGACACAAGACAGTGGCGTGCGGTTGTCAGGAAAAGAAGGTACTAGTGAAGACTATTGGGACATGGGCCATTCAGTGGCTGATATTGGCTGTTGTTGAGCACATGGGACACATGGGGCCCCTTTATGAGGTAGCTACTGAAGTAAAGGAGGAGAAAGGAGGATCTTCAGATGCACAGTGAAGACATTCTTACATTATGGAAAATTCAAATGATTGGAAATGATCTGGTTGTTTTCATTCAAATTAAGCATGCTTGTGACTGGGGCTTCAGCATGACTGTATTTGGCTCCTGGGAAAAAGTCGTTCACAGTAACATAAAGGCTTTTAGAAAAAAGGAAGATGTGTGGTGTCTGGAGCCTGGAAGGAAGCCTTTGTGTTAAAATGTAACTAAACCTTGAATTGCATTTGATTCGATAAATGAATTGTTTCACTTTGTCAACACTACAAGGAAATTATAGGAATTTTGAAAGGTCTGCAAGTCATGTGTCCGTCTGAGAAACAATGAAGCAAAAACAAATAAGAAGATATGTCCATACATGCTCAAGAAGGAAAGGTTAGTTCTCGGTGAAACGTACGCCAATTCTCTATAACAGAGAGCTGGATATTTACTGTCATTGAATTTATCTTAAACACTTAACTGACCTGCTTGTCATAGAAATAAAGGATTATTATTAATAATAGTAAACAGTGTTTTTCATAAAGAAATAAAGGATTTATTATTAATAATAGTAAATAGTGTTTTTCATAAAGAAACAAATATTTTTCTTTTTTATTGTATTGCATGTTTCATAGCAGCATCATAAGTCTTGTTTTACTGTATTTCTTGATGAGAATGTGAGAATGTCGCTAATTGGTCAGTGCCGCCTTAACCCAGTAGTGACATACATCCGTTTCCTTTTCACCGGAGCAAAGATGGCGGAATACGACCTCACCACCAAAATTGCCCACTTTTTGGACCGTCATCTCGTTTTTCCTCTGCTTGAGTTCCTTTCTGTCAAAGAGGTAAGAACTTTATTATCACTTAAACTTTCCGTTACATTTTTTTGTTATTTTACGAAACTATAAACGGCGTTTGAACGGGTTTTAAAGCCATGTGCGCCTAAGAGATAGTCATGTTTTCTCTTGCTGTGTAAAGAAGCCACATTTAACCGGGGTGGAGCCGGAAGTGCAGCTCTCTGCCTTCAAAATAAAAGCGGTAAAATACGTCACAGATAAAAACAGTAACTGTTGAGGAAAACAGAACACAATAAATTGGATAACGATGCTTTAGCAATAACATGGAAGCATGAGGTGTATTACAATTCAATAATACAGCACAAATAATGAATATAATATGTAATGTGAAAATAATATTTGTTTACGTTGAAAAAAAGTATCGGAAGTGCTTCATTGACTGTGATTAACTTTACAATGGTGGCGTCAACCACGCGCTATTTCAGATTCAGATGATTCTAGAACTGTGCCTTTTGTTAAACTAAGAGTTTAAGTTAATAGCATAGTACATACGTTGTACACAACTGTTTGGTGATTCATAACCATACACATGATCACTCTGCAACTTAGCTGTCTCTGTTGTTGCCACCCTGTAGGTTCCTTATTTACAGTGAAATAAAACAGCCATAGCTGAGCCTTGGAAGCTGAAAAGAGTAGTTAATTTCCTATAACAGCGTAACATACTTATTAGGGCTTATCGCTTAACACTGTAAACATGTATTAACACTATTTAGGAACATATAAACAACTATTAGCGCCAGCAGACACTGCCTGTTACGCATTAGCGTTAGCCATCTAAGCTAACCTTTAGCTTGAAAGCTAACAATGTTGCTTACATTTGCATATGTGGCTAGCAGTGACGTTACACTAATGTTAGCCGGTATTCCATTTGTTGTAACTTTTATATTATAATAATATTGTACACAAACACCCCTCCTCAACTCTGTTTTTCTACTGTCCATGTTCATTAGATTTACAATGAGCAGGAGCTGCTTCATGGAAAACTGGACCTCCTCAGTGATACCAACATGGTGGACTTCGCCATGGATGTGTACAGAAGCCTTTTTTCTGAGAAGGACATACCCCCAAGTAAGTGTTTAAGCTTATTTAATACACACTCCACATATGTATTTATCAACTAATAACACAAACACACAACCATATTAACATTGCTTCATAGAACACTTAAAGGGCTCTACACCAATCACTCTATTGAGAATGTATTTAGCAGTAAACATGTTTCCCAGTGTTTTCTGTACTTGAGTGCAGACTATATGGTGATGCTGTAGCTAATAACTTTCTCTGTCAGCCCTAAAGGAGAAGAGGACAGAGGTGGTGGCCCAGCTGAAGCAGCTGCAGTCAGAGACAGAGCCCATTGTGAAAATGTTTGAGGACCCGGAGACAACAAGGCAGATGCAGTCCACCAGGTAAAGCCTGTTTTATATTTTAATCAAGACTAGTGTCTTTTTTTAATCTTTATTTAATCAATATCCTAAAATAGCTTTTTAGTAAAGCCATGTCTCGTTCACACCAGATTCAAAGCCAATTTGTTCGCACTTTATGATACCATGTAAAGTCATTGCAAAGATGCACATTTGTGTCTGCCAACGCAAATTATTTGACAATACAATAATTCCAATGTTTTACCTACCAGTATCATAAGGTAGTTATTGAGCAATTGTTTGTATAGGTTTAACTCAATACAAACCAGTATCTAGATGGCGATAAGCCCTGCCCACTCTCTGGCGCATCTAGTTTGAGTGGCGTGAGTTAAGAAATAATGCCGCGGTCAAACTCGTGCAAGTAACAGAGGCCACATTGCTCTTTGATTCGGTGTGAACGCACCATTAGTGATGTTGTAAATTCTATTTTATGGTCTTACATTTCGTGATTCTAAAACCTGTTATTTGAATTGCTAGACTGCATAGCATAATTCTAGAGGGTTTTCATAAAGTCCATGGAACTGCATATTCAATGAAATATATATTGAGTCTTTTCAGGGTTTTTGTGAGAAAAGGCAGATGCAAGACGTTGTGGTTAGCCTTATTAAGACTGTATGGTCGTCTACAGTGATTAAAATAGTGCGGTCACATTCGGTCTTCATCCTTTCTTTTGTTTCTTGGCTAGTGTGTACAGTTAATCAGAAGCATTTGCCATTTTCAGCTCTTTTCAGTTTATACCATTTAGTTATTTAGTTTTAGTTTGGCTGTGGATATGTGTTTATTTAAGACACAGATTTGTAGGAAATGTTTTGTGAGATTTGAAGCCTTGTAAAAGCAACATTGACTTAACAAATGTCTATGTTATTGTTTGTTTGCTGTCAGGATACATAAAGGAACTAAACCTCCTTTTTCAATGAGGAATCATGTCTTAAGTTATACATTTGTTTTTCTTCATTCCCTTGCATTTGTTAAACAATAGGAAAGTCATCTGGGTTCAATGAAGAATTCTCTCTAAAGCTGAAGGACATGCAACGGGTTTAATTCCACCATTATAAGCTAAATTATACTTAATGCAGTGGCTTGTTTTAAACATAATTTCAGCATTAGAGGATCATACAATGATGCAAATGAGAAAAGGGTTGCTATTTGAACCCCAATGTCTGTTGTCAAATACACTCAAAGCCTTTTAGACGGTAAAAGGACTTAATGCTCCAAGTACTTGTATTGAACAGTTAGTTAATAGACCTGCATGCCTTAGAAGGCTTTATTTGAACTATTGAAGCCAGAAACAAAGCCAAGCCATGGCAAATAAATCATGTTAGTACAATATCTATAAACAATCCGCCAATCACAGAGACCCACTCTGCGGATTATGATCACCATTGGGGTGATTTGTGTTTTCTTCTGGTTGGATTTGTCAAAGCATTAAAAACAACTTTTGGCTTTTTTGAGTCAACATGCTGCCCATGGCTATCTGACTTTTTCATTGCAGAAGGTGGCAGTAATGCTGTGCAGACCTTTATTTTATAAACTTTTGCAACTTGTTGAACAGCCCAGCAGCTGACTCATCTAAATATCACAAAGCCAAATTCATTCATTTTTTTCCAATTTGAAGACATAGTGGGAATAATATTTTGTGGCCCATTCTGTTTCCCAGAGGAGGGATAGATCGCAGATAAAAAAAAAAGGAAAGGAAAATAGATTTTTCAAAGCTGTGGTCAATGGCTCAGATAATTTATTACGATCTGTGTCCCCACAATGCACAGCAGGTTGACATTCCCTACTGCAGGGGAGTCAGCAAGGAGCTTACTTAGACCATCCCTCTATAACAACATACCCCTGAAATACCCTCCTTTTTATATCTTGTGATTTTACAACTCAATTAAAAAGACAAAACAATCCTTTTTTTATTAAATTAACTTTCCTGAATCACTTCAACTCGTCAGTGGAAAAGTGGTTCAAATGTTGGCGAAAGGCTAAACGAACAAATATGGGTTGAAGCATAATATTTTCATGGATAAAAACATGTTGTGATTTTGGGTAGAGATAACATCTATCTGCTTTCAAGACTTTTTGTCTTGAAAGCTTTGCGCTATTTGACTTCTTTTTTTTTTACAAGTTGAAAACAATATTGCACTGCCATCAAATACCATAATAATATTCATTGTATTAATAAAGCTTTATCTTTTCTGCAACTTTGCTGAAATATCTTGCTAAAATAGACATGGAAAAAACCCACTGCGCACCTTTCATATGTTTATTTAAAGAGGCCCTATTATGCTTTTAGGTGCTTTCCTTTTCCTGTGTTGTGTTATGTAGGTTTGTGTGCATGTAAATGGTCTGCAAAGGCTAAAATCCCGAAATCCCCTCCATAGGGAACTTCTCTACTGCACACAATAAGAGAAAATGTATACCTTTTTTTATTTTGACTGGGCAGTACTGAAACATCTGTATTCCCTTTCCAGACCTAGACATGTCTCCATAGTAACCAAACCAAATGTAATAAACAGCCCATCACTCTGTTTTAAAAGTGAAATGGTGTTCATCTAAAAACATCTCTTGATTTTGACCAGAAGTGGAAAAATGTACCTGGTTGTGGACTCCAAACACCAGGATGTCAGGCAAACGGCGATTCAAGCTAAACTGCCTCTAACTCCAGGAACTGTGTTTCTTTTTTCTTGCAGAGATGGACGAATGCTCTTTGACTATTTGGCAGAGAAACATAACGTAAGTTGGCCCGATCTGCTGACATCTCACTTCTCCACTGCATTTCCCATGGCTGTTGTTTCAAGGGGGGGCGATGTGGGAGGGGCAGGGAAATGCAGAGTTACTTCCCAAAACCCTTAACTCATTTTCGGGGTTTGTATGGCTTGCACAAATCCTGCGGACATTTACATTCTGTGGTGAATTGTCAAGAATAAATGGAGGAGCTCGGGACCCGTGGACGGAGCCGCAAGAATGCCGGAGGTTCTATATTTACTGTGATGTTTGGCTTCCTCCCCTCCCCTCCGTCGGTCCCCTCCCATTCCGGTATCCCGCTGACCTGCAGGCTGTCCTCAGTGCACCTCACGCTGTGGGAAAGGCTTGGGCGTTACACTGAATCTTTAGTGAATGGCCTGACGTCAGTGCAGTAAGATACTGGACAGCAGGAAGGACAGTTAAATATAGTAGGCCTGAAAGGATAGCCCTAAATATGTTTTCTAATTCAGTTCGCGTGACCACTTTGTGCCAGTTTTGTCACAAAAGTGAAATATCATCTAGCCATTCAGAGAGAAATACCACTGACACGCTATGGCAGTGTTTACTCGACATTCATTTGGAAGTGGTGTGCCACAACATCCAGGAAAAAAAAAAAGTTAGTGCTACAAATATAAATGAAAATTAAAAAAAATGTGCACTTTAGTTATGATCTAAAATATATTTGATGTAGCCCAGATGTTTGAGAAGTCATATTGTTACAATGGCAACTAAGGCTGAAACTACTGACTGATTTTCAATCAATCACAAAACAGTCTTCACAGTTTTACTAAATCACGTGTAGTCTTTAAATGTTTTGTTTGACCAAAAGTCTGAATACCCCTAAATATTTAGTTGAGAGTAACCTTTATTTAAAGAAATGAAGGAAATGATCTCACTTGAGAGGGTGGAATAAGAAAATATTTGAATCAAATTTCAAAATAGTAAGCCTTTATTTTTCAGTTGAAAATGGACATAGCGTTTTAGCACTAACTGCAACATCTTTACCCTGGTACAACAAATATGACACACAACTGGGATGTCCTTAGGCACCACAGCTGCATGAAATTACACAGCCCAATGACCTATTTAAAAAAAGATGTATTGTATACTCATCTGACAACTTTTCCCATTTCCTGTGTTTGTGATATTGATACTCTCCTATTCCACTTGAAGTTTCGTCAGGAGTACTTGGACACGCTGTACAGATACGCCAAGTTCCAGTACGAGTGTGGAAACTACTCCGGCGCTGCAGAGTACCTCTACTTCTTCCGCGTCTTGGTAAGTCTTTATCATTGTCGTTCAACAACAGTTCACTTGTTTAATAGTGATGTTTGGCTGACGACTGCATGCCTTAACAGATAGTCTATAGTATTGTATGACCCCCATTTTGTGTACTGGCTTAAGGCATTTCTCTGGCATATTAAAAAAAGAACATCACATTATGTTTGCCATATTTCTTTAATTTCTCAAAATGCCAATGCTTGCATAGAAGAGGAAAAGAACACTTAGAAGAAATTGAATGTGAAAAGCTTACGTCAGTGCCTATTCCATTCCCTGCACGTCTTTTGTATTGGGGGAGCCTGCCGCTCTAAGACTGGAGGAGGATATTTGACTGGGCCAAGTGATCAGTGGTGGACTGCATAATCTGTCTGTAGTCTTCTCACGGGCGTGCCTCAGTAGACAGCTTATTGATTGGAGTGCTGTGGCCAGAGAGTCCCTCGTCACGGCTTCTGGGCTTATGGAGTCCTTAAGTTATGCAAGGCATCTCTTAGTTAGCGTAGAGAGGGGTACACACATTTTGCAAGGGTTTTTTGTGCACATACTATATCTTCAAAATAATTCAATTTGAGCTGGAGGAAAAAGACAACTTAATACAATACAGAGAGTTTGGTTATTTTCAAGATAATGCAAACCTGTGTTTTGCAGGGAAAGATAATCACAGTTCTGACGGAGTACTGCAATGTTTAGCCTTAGTGAAGTGTGATTTACCGTTAAGCTTTATCATCTCATCTATGGTTTTATTTCATTATAAGAAAAGAGGCAAACTAAAGCAGGTAGCAACATCCTTGCTGTAGTGGGTATTCTTAGTGATTTTCTCCAGAGTAGCAGACATGTTGAGAAACGACTACCGTTTAGGTCCAAGGTACCTTCAAACGAGAAGTTTTCAGCAGGCTTTGATATTTAAAATGCTCCAATTGCTTTGAAGCACTGCGCCCCTGTACGTGACGTGACATAAACACTTGTGTAATATAAAATGTAATGTCACTCTTTGTTCCGATGGAGTAAGTTGGAGGAAATTAGACCAAGAGGAAATAGTTTTGCTCCCATTATATAGCAACTCTTTATTTAATAGAAACATTCTGAGAAGAATAACCAAGACATTTGGAAATATAATATCAATCAATCAATGTTTATTTATATAGCCCAATATCACAAATGTTACATTTGTCTCAGTGGACTTTACAGTTTGTACAAAATATCAGTATGACAATACTGAAAGACATTTGGAAATATAATATGTACCTGGGGCCTCATTTATAAAGCCTTGCGTAGGATTCACGTGGGAAGGTTGCTTACGTAGGACAAAGCAAATAAATACGCGCAGACATTTTCCGATTCGTAAAACACCGCGTACCGGCGTAGGACTTGCGTACGGTTTCCCTTTTTTATAAATCACAATCAACTCGAAATGCGGTGCAGCTTTTGCGGGCTTCACGTAACGCCCATATTTGCCTATAAATAGTCAAAGAAACGCCCATTCATTCATTTTGACTGACTTTAGGAAGAAGATCGCAGGAAATGACGACAGAACACACCGTGTCAGATGTGGGTTATTTTGGGGAGGTGGAGATAAATTATATTGTTTGGTGGATGCAGTTTGAACCAGAGTAGCAGCATGGAGGTCGGATCGTCACCAAAATAAATAAATAAATGGCCCGAAAAAGGTTAATGACAAAAACAATACACATAGCCTTCCTCAGGCAGTGTGTTTGTACCGGGGACAGGAGACCCCCCCCCTTGATGAGAGACTGTAAGAAGTGATCGGGGAATCCCCCCGGAGTGGAGTCATGACGACTGGATCTGAATTATGTTTTTGTATTTGGTGGTTTGTGTTCCAGCTGTCGATCAGCTGTGCGCAGCATCTCCACTGCAGCCTGTGCATCTCAACCCCCCCCCCCGCAGCAACTCTATATCCACCAGTTAAAGGAAATACAACCAATGTGTTGTGTTATATCAGCTGTATAATTGACCACATATGGTGTTCTTAGCTTCCATACCTCCTGTGTTTTACGAGCGACTTATCAAGTCTTGGCAAACGGCATAAAACACGATTAAACATGATAGTATATAAAACCATGCTCGTATCTCCAACCTATAGAAATGCAACACGGCGTCAGTTTAGACGTAATTCTGTCCTCCTGCTTACCGCATCATTTATGAGAAAACATTTCTTAACAAGAGAACATAATGGAGGGGTGATCAATAACATATCCGTATTTATTTCTCCAAGTTATGTTTTTGTGTGCACTGAGGAGTCTCAAACAGGCGTTTGTTTAATCATTTTAAGATTGGCTTTAATCAATGTTTGAAAATGAATTCTTCATGATAAATGAGAGGTAACATTTTATTGATGGTATTATTTCCACATATTTCTCTCCATTCTTCCTTCTGCCAACGGTGTCGCAGTTTCTCGTCTCTCCCGTTTTCATGCTTAGTGCGTACGCATGGGTTAGAGTTTGCATGGAGGACCGCACGTTTTCCCGTCAAGTTAGTATTTTATCAATCACAAACATTGCGTAGAAACTGGCGTACGCACCGTTTATAAATGAGGCCCCTGGCCTTTTCACACATTGACTATCACAACCACACAACCAGTTACCAAGTGTGTGAACTTTGCAGCATCTGAGGTTAGTATCCAAGGTGCTTCTATCATTACTTATGCAAGCAGAAGCACCTTGGTGGCGTCAATTGTAGCCTACTCTGAAGCTGCCTTCAAGGGCACATTGTAAGGCAACTTCAAGCTTGTAGCACCCCCCCTCCCCCGTTGGTTAGATTTTGGCCTCATTTAAAAATGAACCCAAATTATAGCGCAAATGTAGCTTTATTTTTAAGACATCCAGTGTAAGTAAGTTCAAATCAACTGAATGCCCTATAATGACCAGTGGAACCAGCCTTGTGAGTGCTTTCCAAGTGTCACTCACTTGTCCTCAAAGGAAGACTCCTCCTGCTTTTGTTTGTCTTTGGTTCAGCATTTAGCTTTGCGGTGAAGCAAGGACTAATGCCAAAGCCAGCCCTGAGAGAATGGGCTAGAATAAGATCAACATTTTGTCTATTTATTAGAGAGAAAAACATTTTAGACAACCTTTTTGTTCCCATTCTAATTGACATCTGATACTACACTGTTGTCTTTTGGATGTCACTGACTCTGGCTAGCCATGCACATTCATATGTCGGAGTGAAAAACTTGGCAGGCAATTGGAGCGATGATGAACCCTCTTCTCTACAAACAACCCTCTTAACCCAAAGCAGTTGGGTACTTCATATGATGGGTTTTTCACTGATCTGCTTAAATCTGCAGAAGGAAGAGTCACATCCGAGACAAGATGAAGGGTAATTCGCCCTAGCTTTCCACTTCCACGCCCTAAAAAACAAAAAAAAGGCATTAAGGAAAGTCTTCAAAAGCTTTCAAGGGATATATCCCACTGTTCCAACAACAATTGTTTATGGCTTTGCAACTCAGTCTAAATAAAACCAAAATTGCTTTAATTGAGGTATGTTGTACAAAGTCCAACAGATTATTTTTTTCTTTTTACCCCTCAAATAGTTATACCCCTCATTTTAAGTTCCAGGCGGATCAGGCTTTGTAACTAGATATCTGTGTCTTACTCTTGACAATGCAAAAAGCTTTTTAGCCGAGGAAAAGGTAGAAATGGATTTCATTAGGAGTCTGTATACTGCTCTCCCCCTCCCCTCTTTTCCGTCTTTAGTGGACCTCCCATCCTCACAGGCCCCTTGTCTGTCTCTCCCTCCCCCCGTATGGGAGAGGTGAGGCTCCATAAAGGCATTTAACGTGGGAAACCCAGTCAATTAAACGAAGGAAGCCAGCCTTGCAAAATCCATGCCCCAGGTCTTGTTACAGTGCGGCCTAGCCCGAAAAGAGCAACTTATTCATATCATCACTTAATGCAGGGATTGAATGTTAAGAATAAAGATTGAGTATCCCGACGGATCCCCAGCACAGTCAATTTATTGTTGCTGGTCAGTCAGCGAAAGTGTGCCCATTTCACAAACCAATGGAAACTTAAGGTAACTGCTGGAAAAACCCAGGTACTGAAACTTTTCTAGCGTGGCCACTAGTGAAAGCCAGACTGTGTGTGTTTGTGTGTGTGTTTGTGTGTGTGTAGAAAGCTGCCATAATGACCTGGAGGTCAGCCAAACGTAGCAGGCAGGGACTTACAGGGGAGGGAAAAAATAACAAACAAAACACTTTCACCAGATGAAACGTTGACCTTTCTACCGGCAGTGGAGCCAATTTATTTTCTTCTTCTAGCTGTTACAATACTGATCATTCTTGTGACTTCTGCACTTTCATTCGTAATGGACTCAAGTTGTGCTCTGTGATCAAAGAAACTCTGTTACTCCACTAGATGGATGGAAACACCAAGTTACTGTGTTCTCCTTTGGGGAAATACTAGGGGAGATTTTCCAAATACTTTCCCCTTACCTGCCACCGTCTCGTTAGTGGAAATGTTATCAGAGTGCAACTCAAACCCTCTATCTCCAAATAATCTCGCCAATTTGTGGGGTTCCAGCGGAAACCTGTTCTTTTTATAGTGTTTCCTCTGCTTGGACATCTGTCGTGTCTCACGGTCCACTTTAGCGGCTGTCCAACGGCTTACGGGGGCGTGTGGTTAGGATCTCGGTTTCTCTGGCCACTCAGCAGACACCCACCCTGACTTCCTGCTTGACTCATGTCTTTGCGTCTGGTGTTTGCCGTTATCGTGAACCATCGTGGCACAGAGTTTCCCATGAGCCCTAGGGTGTAGTCCAATGTCCACTACTTGCGAGTGATTGCCTCGGCCGAGGTTCAGAGGCATTCTCAACCTGTGTTCCATTACCTGATTCCCCTTTTTGTTTGTTTTAGACTGTTCTGGAAATCAGAAACAGTAGCCTGCAACTTTTTTTCAGAGTGATTATGCTCACAAAGATGTGTCTTGTTAGCGTCAGTTCATATTTCAGCCTAATTACTTTGTGATAACGACAGTTACCCAAGGTAATGGAAGGATGTTATTGTAATTATCATTCTCAAGACTGATGGGGTCAAGCTTGCAAAGAAAAAGTTTAACAAAGCAAATCTCACTGGAAACATGGACTAACGTTGAATAGGTTTGTGTGCATGTAAATGGTCTGCAAAGGCTTAAATCCCAAAGTTCACATCAGAGGAAGTTTTTCTCCCACACACCCCCCACCCTGCCTGTAACGCCTCCATTGGACTCCTTTGTTTACTTCAATAACATAGTGACATCACTATTTAACACTTGCAATTATATTGGCTAGTGCTCCAACTCGTTGTACGTGATTAGCTTTTTCCATCAAAGCTTGTACTGTGCAGAGTTTTCTGCCATCCCTTTGTGAAGTGTGTCTGCACCTCCCATCAGAGGTCAGCTCATTTTTCAATTCATTTAAGTCATTTGCACACTTTTGGCTATTTCTGGCTTGTAATGTTGGAGGATTCAAATATATTTTTTAATAAATCTGTTGATATTAATACAGTTTTCTTCTTTATTTAAGTGTTATAGCATGCTGTGTTATGGCATGTGATCTCATATCCATGAAGAAAAATTCTAGGGCCTCTGCCTCATCAGATTTGGCCGTTCTTTTCTATTGTGTATACTCTAACTTTATGGAAACTATAATATTAAATTGTTGGACTCTTAACAGCAAACATGACAACAGATGTGAAATGCTTGCTGCAACTAAGCCCATATAGTAGGGATGAGAACGATTCATCGAATATTCAAAATTATTCAGGTATTCGAATATGAGTTAATTATTATTTTTTTATTTTTTGGGAGTGATGCCTAAGTTGATTACATATTATCAAATTGAATAATTCATTGTATACGACAGTGCCATAGCTAAATGTGTTAGGTGACGTCTAAAGGTGTGTTTTGCTCCGCTCACCGGTCCCTCACAGCGGGCAGAGCTGCAGGTGCTGATCTCTCTCTCTCGTGTCCGGTTATACTTCACTCGCGTGTAGGTCCAAATCCATCAGATCTAGCTAGTTCTAGCTAATGATATGGCTGCTGCCCCTCCCTACACGCAGATCACACCGACTCAAACCTCATCTTAGGCCCAAATGCGGCGAAAATGCGCTCCGCAGCCGTTGCGAGGTTCATGAGCGTGCTCCCCCGCCCCCCTGTCAACACTCGCGACACATGAGTGGCCAGCCTAAACAACAATAAGCGCTGCTTGGCAACCGTGTGTGGCGGCAAAGTACATAGACATTTTGACAGGAGAGATTTAGTTTTGCCGGTATTCAACATATTTTACCAGTCATAGTCCGGTAATTATTTACACTCTAAGAAGAGTCCTACACAACAGACATGGCGTCAAAAAGGAGTAATGTGTGGAAATATTTGGACCAGGTTAGTGAGTGCGGTGTAGAGGTCAAACTATGCCAAATTAAACTTATATACTATAGCCTACCTTGTTATACCCGCAACCTCCGTTCCAGCTGAGAGGGTCTTCTCTACAGCTGGCCTGATTGTGAATCCCGCACATGAAAGCTGTAGGCCTATAGCTGTCAAACTGTGATCACCAGTTCAATACATTTGACAAATTCGACTTGGTTTCTAAACTTATTTGAACATGTATTTATTTATTTCCAAAAATTATTGAAAACATTTTTTTGATTTTTTTTTTATATAGGATATGTACATTTCGGTTACCCGGTTAACCGTTTTTTGGGGGTTCGAATATTCAAATATACATTTGCTTTCAAATTCCCATCCCTAATAGTAAGTAACCTTAACAGTCTTAATATTTTTCTGTTCAGTTCCATTCCCTTCGGATGACATACTTTAATCCATTTATCCAGTTCAGTAGAGCCACTGAAGCCAAACAAGCAGTGGCAAACTCAAGCCCAGCGTCACTGTGTATGTCAACCAGTTGGAGTCAAATGTTTGTTTTAATGTTGTTTGCTTCAGGTTTGAATAATGCACTGTGTTTGTTCCAAAGGTCCCGGCTACAGACAGGAATGCCCTGAACTCCCTGTGGGGCAAGCTGGCCTCTGAGATCCTGATGCAGAACTGGGAGGCTGCCATGGAGGACCTCACCCGCCTGAGGGAGACTATCGATAACAACGTAAATGCTCCACTTCTCAGAATTTGATACCAAATTTAGATTCCCTTACATAGACTCCCATATCGACATTCCATTTTCAGGAGGGCTCTGCTGTGGCATATACCCACACACACACTTATCAGACCACTTAAGAATTTGGATTTTTAGTATGAAGTGGTTACAAGTTTGATTGATGACCATTTGGGAGAGTAGGGCTTGGTTTTGTTGTGCCTTATGGGAGAATAGCTTTTGTTTTGTACTTTGTTTTCACCTTGCTTCTCTTCGAACCCTAACCGTGTCTATTTTCCTATCTTTGTCCTTTCCAGACTGTCACCTCCCCGCTCCAGGCCCTCCAGCAGAGGACATGGCTCATTCACTGGTCCCTCTTTGTCTTCTTCAACCACCCCAAGGGCAGAGACAATATCATTGAGCTCTTTCTGTATCAGCCACAGTAAGTACAATTTCTCATACATTTTCCTGTTTTAACCCTTTTAAGATTTTACATCCAGGAAATGTCGAGAAGAATACCAGGAAGCAGTTGTAAAGATAAGATCCCTTTCCACTAAACGATCGCAACATGAAAGGAATGGTTCTGTAGCCTGGTTGTACCATAAAGCTAAGTTGAAATCCATAGACTGTTCTCTTTTCCTTTTGGCAAAATCTGCTCTGTGAATGAAAAAATATGCACGTCTGTGTAGTTAGTGTTGCTTCAAAGATCACAATGGTCGAGATTCTATCTATACTAAACGTTGTTTCTACCAAACAACAGCAGCAAAGTAATGTTCAGACCTATTCCTGGAAATTGGCCTAAATTGATTTGGCATAGTTATTGTTTTGGTCAATTCACCCAAAAGCTGCCACTTAATACTTCTGAGAAACTGTACAGCAACTTTGAGTATTTCAACAAATGATCATCCTAACCCAAAATAGTTTTCTTCTGTTGTGTTGGTAATGTGACCATTTGTATGTATGTTTTGGACTTATTGGACATGTGAGCTGTATGTGTGGTTATGTATCTCTGTTTTTTGTCATTTGGTCCATATGAAATGATATTGCATTGTAGCTCAATTCTAAATGCTAAGATGATTTGGAGAAAAGGTCAGTGATTGTTTTTTTTCTAACATTAAGTTGATTTAGAGAAAACCATTTGCTTTAATAACACATTTTCGGGTGTTGGGCTTCATCATGAACCCCACTGGTATTTTTAAAGTGGTTTCAGAAGTGTGTGTTTTCGTGTGGTCTGTTTACTCTCCAAGTCGAGGCCATGTGTATCGCAGATCGGAAACTTATACATTGCGTTAACATTTGCACACCGCCCATTCTGATGTCTTTGCTCCCTCCCCCCTGTTCTGATTGCAGGCTTGTATAATTGTACAGATGATTGGCCTCCACAGACAGTATGACGGGCGACCACAACACAGCGCACTCAAATGTCTGGTTCCCTGAATTTTACTCAGTTTTTAATTTTATTGCGCATGATTAAAGAGGCCTGCTCAATAATTACTCACCCAACCATCTGTGTGGACAAACTGAGGTAGTTTTGTGTGCTTTGCAGTTTCACAGTCTAGAAACCTCATGTTTTCCCCACTGAGGCTTGGCTCTTGTTTCCCATCTTTTGACCAGTACTTCCTTTGGCTGGAGTCGGTGACCAGCAGCTGGCCTTCAGCTTCATATATGACCTCCCTTACCCCTGCAGTCAGCAGATGTTGGTCCAAAAACTTGTTTGTGTAAAAACTTGTTTGTGTACTATATCTGACTTACTTGATAGTCATTGGTTCTGAAAAGCTTTCGTGTCAACAAACCCATAAAATGATGCCCATTAAGGTCACAGAACACAATTTCATAAAATGTCGCTTTTTGAACCGCCATCTAAAAAATATATTTGTTGTTATTCAGGGTGGACGTTGCTTAGGAAGTAGACTGGTCGTCCTCCAATAAGAAAGTCCATTTTCTTTCAACATAAGCCCCTGTAGTCAACATGTTTAGGTGTCCTTTGGCAAGATACTTTGTTTTGCTCTTGATGGCCTGGTCTATGGTGTGCGAATGTGTGTGAATCGCAAAAATAAACTATTCCTCATTTTACTGGAGACTGACTGGAACTCCATTACGGACCCCTGGTGGTGAACCACTGGTCTATATCACTCGTTTTATTGTTCAACGTGATTTTCTTTTATAAAATGGCCACAAAACGTGACCTTGTTGTACCCTGTCCCACGTCCTTCTATGTTCGCCCTCCACTCCACTCCACTCCCCCCCCCCCCACCCCCACACACACCTTTTAACAGAATAAATCTGAATTATACTTGATTTCTTGGCTGCATGCTTCTGTAGCATCTTCAGCAAACCAGTGCAGTGACGCTTTTTGCCTCAAAACTCAAAAAAAGATGAAGTCCCCTAAGTGGAGTTGGGTGAATGCCCTGCAGATATGGTACAGTGACTCATGCAGGATCGCTTGCTATTGGAGCCCCCCCTAGAGAGTGAGTAGGTGTAAGTTAATCAGGAACACAGCGCGGAGCATTGCGGTTTTCCACGGGAGTCAAGCAACTACAAAAGGAAGGAAGGAGGGAGGGAGAGGGAGTGCTCTTCTAAAACCAGAAACATGATGGCTTTGCCGAGCAGCCCACTGCTGTTTTTAGACTCTACATCACTACTGCCACAGGTCCCCCTGTCCCTTTAATTGTTTCAGCTAATTAAACTGCTGCCGGCTGTCTTTCTCTGAACACCATGTGTTCCTCCGGCCTCAGCTATAGGAGACATGAAGGGGCCCACTCCACTTCCTCTTTTCAGATCTAATTTGATCAATTTGGGGTTGGGTGGAGGGTAAAGTTCAAAGATGGATATTAAAAAACACTAGGGAGTTTTGGTGATGCAGTTAATGTTGATGTTGATTGCCAACTTGACAAGCAATATGGTGTATGTTTGTGTGTGCAGACCTTACATGCTGTTTTTACAGAACCCTGTCTCCACAGTTGGTGTGGGATTAGAGTCAGCCTGTTAGCAGCGTCCTGTCTCTTGTGTTCAGCCCTTAGCTAGTTGACCTGTGGTTGGAACATCAGTCCCTGATGGATTGTGTTTCAGCTACTGAGCAGGTCCCTGCTCACTGATCTATATCTTCTTGCCAAGGTTTCCTTTTCCTCCTCCCCTCTTCCCCTCTTGGTAGGACACTAATGAAAGAGACGGCTTAAAGCTGCGACCCATGTCCAGAAGTGAGGGGTCCTGTCAGGACATTTATCTGTTTTAGCCGCAAAGGCTTCCCCTGTGTGCTAAATGCCAGGAGCCCAAAAGGCAGCCAAGATGTTCTATTATGTGTCCTTGTAAAGATCATGTCTTTGCTTACATCAGTAATTATCCTTCACTCTTTCCAGGTACCTCAATGCTATCCAGACTATGTGCCCACACATCCTGCGTTACCTGACCACAGCCATCATCACAAACAAGGATGTCCGCAAGCGTCGGCAGGTCCTGAAGGATTTGGTGAAGGTCATTCAGCAGGTATTACAATTCATTTTTTTATTTTACAACAAAGTGTACATGGCTACCAGGTCTTTGCTTATAGGCCATATACGTTAGAGGATGAGTAAGTCTGACCATTACATTAGAAGGTTAAGGAACCAAAACTCAGTATAGAGAGTAAGAACCGAATCCAAAATGCCCGGTAACCAAGGGTCAGGGTTAGTGTTAGGGCTTTCCTGTGAGTAGGCATGTGACTGTTTTTTAACCCCTTAAATAACTGAAATCAAGAACAATTAACAACCTTAATCAATAAGCGGAACTGAAATCATTCAAATCTAAACAATACCCAAACCTAGTAAACCAATAGCATACTAGGGCTTCCCTTTTTTAAGCTCAGCTGGTGTATATAGGTTTTTGGTCCTAGCTCAAAACACATTACTTCTGATGAATGTGCTACTGTACCAATGTCTTCTCCACTAGTGATTGTACCTACATCAGAGATCTGAGCACTGTCTTGGTGGGTTGTGGGTAATCTTTAAAACATGCGCCCAGTGCTCTCTGCTCTGGCCTCAGGTCAGGCTGAGTCTCTGTCTTTGAGTTCAAAATGTGTTTTCACTCAGACTTTTGTAAATTGTTATCTTTATTTAGCTTGTGTGCCCAGCAGGTGGTTTTTCCTGACTATCTATTACCAGTCATTACCTTCAACCAAACTAGGATTTATGATTTCCAGAGATGCACCGCCTCAATAGATTGCCAGTCAAAACAGTCGGAAACTATTTGTGGTCGATTGGTTATACACACATGTGCAGCATGATCGTTATCGATGTCAGTTATATATTTTTTATTAGGGAGAAAAAAAAACTTTTGAATTGGCAAATATCTGAAACGGCATATCATATTTTAAATGAACGGCAAGAAAAATTACAAATATCCACATATAATTATTTATTTATTATGTTTATATTCGGACATTACTCATTTCTATTTAATTGCACAATAAACATAAATTACATATTTATGCTGAAGTATACATCTACTTTATTAAACATTAAATTGTTATAATTCTAAGCTATAGAAGCTTTGATTAAGATATAAATGTCTTAAGGCATAATACTTGATTATATAATATTGATTGATTTCTTTTTTTCAGGAGTCTTACACCTACAAGGATCCTATTACAGAGTTTGTGGAGTGCCTGTATGTGAACTTTGACTTTGACAGTGCCCAGAAGAAACTCAGGGAGTGCGAGTCGGTGAGTAAGCACTTCTGTTCCGACCTTCTGTGACCAAGAAGAGAAGTCATGGTTTATTGTGGCTCTCCATGACTCAACAAAGGTCTCCTGAGGATTTCAGAACTTTAGCTGTAGAGCATCGCAGTAAACATTGTTAGTAATCGTATGATCTTTGTATGACCCTCTGTCTGATCAAACAGCGTTTTTTATTATGGACTTCAGCTTGGGTGCCGTTGAAACAGAACACTCAGTCTGTGTCTCATACTATCAGATATAAAGCTCCTCTTGGAAACTGTGACTCAGGCTTCAGTCAGATTGGACTGTGGCCTTTAATTGACCTATCAGGCTTTTAGTTAACAGTAAAAGCATTATAAGCAAGTCTCTGCGGTGACACTCTCTATAAGAGGGATATCTGTCAAAGCACCGTCATTTCAAAGCGTGTATTTCAATTCTTGGGTTGTAATGGCTTAATGTAACATGAAGGTAAAAGTCCTCTTTGTATGTTCACTACAAAGATGAACACATAGAGAACACTGATCCGTGATAAGTTATATGTAGAGCTCAGTGGAAACACATAGTATGGCAAATTGTTTTCAATTCTATTTATATTAAAGCTTCTGTGGCTATGATCTGTTAGTGCCATATGTGTTAAAGAACAGTTCTGACACTCTTCTCATTCTAGATAGAGCTCAGTAGTAGTACATCCACATGCTATTTTGTCATTTGTTTAGGAAACAAATTCCACTTGTTATACATTGGTCAAAAATGTATAGTGACAAACAATGTAAAGGAATGACATTGTTTGGTGTCACTAAGTTACTGTTATACAAGGTATCAGTTTCACTTTCATTATGTAGCATTACCCTCTACATATCCATACCAATGCATCTTAAACATTTTCTCTAATTCATATAAATGAGGTCTCAGTATAATGCAGTGCAATTCAACATCAGCACAAACTACTATCATACATACTACAGCCTTCAACATTATTTCAAAGCTGTAATAATATTTTTTTTGGGCAAAAACTGGAAATGATAAACTCTCTATACACAAAAATAAATAAGAGATTTATTAGTCTTCTAAAGTGTTGCTAAAATTGCTTTCTGTGCAACATATTTAGACATATTGCAATGCAAGAGTTGCATTTCCATTCAGTTAGGTACATTGCGTGTTTATGTTTATTTAGGATCCCCATTAGCTTTTGCTCTTGACAAAAGCTACTCTTCCTGGGGTCCGACACTTAAAACAATACACCAATAATACAACAACATTCAAGACATAAGTCCTGACATCATTAACAACATCACCAATATCATCAACAATTTCCAACATCATCAACAATCTCATCCACTTTCAATATCAATCTCAGCCAAGGATGAGTGCACTAGACACCCAACAGTACAAAGCATGAGATCAAATTAGGGTTCACAGCTCACAAGCATGGCCGTATCTACCATTGAGGTCACCGAGGTCCGGACCTCGGTAATTTTTTCCGAGCTGTGTATATAACAAAACTTGTGAAATAATTGCACTAAACAGGGTTCTTTGTAGTACTTCCATTTACTGACCATGGGGGCGCTGCATAACTACGTAGCCTCGATTAAAGCAAACAGAAGAAGACTACATGTATCAACAAACCACCGCAGCCCGGACTTGTATCGGAGCAGCGGAGGAGTGATGAGGTATCTAGAGATCTGAGTCCAGCGGGCTGCTTGTGTTTCTGCTCATCAGGACATCATATGAGCAGCAGATCCTGTGTGAACGCTCTACGTTAGTCAGTGGACGTCCGACAACATGCACACTAACTGATATTGCAGCTAGGTTATACTTTGGTTTAAATTGCGTGAATAAACTAGCTAGAGAGCTAATGTTAATTACATTCAATGTCAGAAGGATTACCTTTTAACAAACGTTTTAATGTTTTTCTTTCATTTCAATTTGAGTAAAACATTGAAGATATAACATTGTGTTGTTTTCTTTTTACACTGACTCAGATATAATGAAAAGACTACGTCAGTCGAAGCTCAGCTTTGGTAAGGAAGAGACAGGACAGGCAGAGAAAAAGAGAGAGAGAGAGAGAGAAAGTGATGGAAGTCAGGGAGGAACTGCAGGTACAGTCACACAAAAGAATGTAGGCTTAATAACCCCATCTATCCATCTATCCATCCATCCATCTATCCATCTATCCATCTATCCATCTATCCATCTATCCATCTATCCATCTATCCATCTATCCATCCATCCATCTATCCATCTATCCATCTATCCATCCATCCATCCATCCATCTATCCATCTATCCATCTATCCATCTATCCATCTATCCATCTATCCATCTATCCATCTATCCATCTATCCATCTATCCATCTATCCATCTATCCTCCATCTATCCATCTATCCATCTATCCATCTATCCATCTATCTATCCATCTATCCATCTATAACAATAGTCTTCATTTACAATAGGCATAATTTTAAAACAACAAAAACATCTATTGCAGTTATGATTTCATAATAAAACACCATTTGCTTACATATTTGTTCTCTTTTGAGAATCAAACAAAACAGATTTAAAAAAAAAAAAAAAATGCAAACAAACAAGTGTAATGAACTAAATCAATCAATCAATCAATGTTTATTTATATAGCCTAATATCACAAATGTTACATTTGTCTCAGTGGACTTCACAGTTTGTACAGAATATCAGTATGACAATACGACACCCTCTGTCCTTAGACCCTCACATCGTACAAGGAAAAACTTCCAGAGAAAACCCACAGTTTAAAGGGGAAAAATAATGCAAACAAACAAGTGAAATGAACTAAATTGCTGAATTGCTTTTAATTCACTGGCAGGAGCGACAAGTGAGGAGGAACAAACAGTGAACAACGAGGGAGAGATTGAACAAAGAGAAAGAGTAGAGGACAGAGAGAGTAATGAACAGGAAGAAGACAGAGAGACTCAAGAAGATTGAAGAGAGGGTGCAGGTCCTTCTGCATGTCCAGATCATTAATAGTAACAATCAACTGATTCTTATGCATTACACTTTCAAAAATAATTGATGCTGCATCCACTGACATGGTTTGAAATCAATATATTATCCAATGTGTGACCCCCCCCCCCCCACAGGACTTAAAAAGCACCTAACTAGATCATGAAAATCCCAAAAATCTCGGGGGGATCCCCCGAACCCACCTAACATGTTTGGACCTCGGTATTTAGGAAATCCTGGATACGGCCCTGCTCACAAGGGTACATGGTCATTAGTAGATGGCCCTTCAATCTCTTCGTGAAAGAGGCTCTGGACTCTATTTCAGCAAGGTAGTTTGGCAATGAGTTCCATTCCTTTATAGCTCTATAAGACACAGAAGATTTCAGAAGATTTGTCCTGGGTTTAGGTGCCAGTAGATGGCCTGATGTAGCATGTCTAGTATTATGGTCATGCTCGTCTCTTGTGTAAACTATTTGATCATAAAAATACAGTGTTTTTTTGCTAAATTGGACATTATTTGTACACGGTAACAAGAATGCCTCTACAGATAAATGATGCGTCACATTGATGGCATAAGTAGAACTTTCCTGATTCTAGAGCTGGTCTGGTGTTGTGCTATATGTATGTTTTGTGTAATTACATTTTTGTTGTTCATCCTTTGCTCACAAACTGTAATTTTGTTTTTACCCAATGGACTTGATCATTTGGACCTAGAGAGGAATACAAGACAATACCCTGAGTTATTTGGCCCATTTATCTTGCATCTCGACAATAAACCTTCAGAATGAAAAACATCTGTCCTGATCAAATAGTTTTTTCCCAGAAGTAAATGTTTATAAATCTTGTCACAGTGCATGACATTAAGGATTTTGGGAGATGGCCCTGTGGGCCATCTAAGCTAATTTACAGATGGCCCTGAGCCCAATAGAGATTGCCCTGAAAAATGCGCGCGGATGAAATGGCACGAAGGGTTTGGGGGGCCTCCCCCTAGAACATTTAGATTGTTGCAGGTCTTAGATGCTGTCTGGTGCATTCTCTAGACTGAATTATAAGATGAACCACCACAATATTATATTGTACAATTTCAATTGTATTCTTCATTTCACTCGTTTGTTTGTTCTTGTTTGTGTGTGCTCGCCTGCATGCCCTGCATATAAGAAATACTTAAGTTGTAGATCAAAACACTTTCCACCTGATGAAGGCAAATGCCTTCCCAGATGTAAAAAAGTAGAACACATTACCTTCAGTTATAACTGCCAAAACAAACATTATTTATACTATTATGGCCCCTGTTAAAAATGTTTGTAATGTTATCTACTGTAAGTTGGTCGAACGAATGCCTCCTCATCCGGAAGCTGACCGAGCAGACCCGAGCAGCAGTCGAGAGGAGCCGAGCGCATCCGCGAAGCACACAAAATGGCGACGTCAGAGTTCCCGTTAGCCGGCAAATCTAAATATCTTCGGTCAAAATAATTTCCCTTTAGCGCAATACCGCTTCAGTTGCGCCACTTATGTGACAGACAAGAAGAGTATGTGACAGACAAGAATAGTCAATTCTAATGTCTAACACGTAATGTGGAGAAAGAGATGTCCTGTATGGGTTGATTGTGCGTTGATCTGTTGGTAATGCCTCGGGGTTCCGGTGGGCATGTAAACAAATGCATAATGCTGCGCTATACTTTGTGGCCTCACCCAGTTGCATAGCGACACTTATTGTTTAGGTGTCTTTTAATAAGCAGGTACTCATATCATTAGCTAGAACTAGCTGGATCTGATCGATATGGACATAAACGCGAGTGAAGTCTAATCTGACGGGAGAGAGAGATCAGCTGCTGCTGACGAGTCGACACGCAGCTCTGCATGATCACATGCAGCGGTGAGCGGACAAAACACACACTTCAGGTTAGAATATCACAAGTAGCTATTTTAATTACCTCTCAAACTACCTAAACTAGTTATAGATATGTTTAGTTTTACTGTCGGGTCACTCATTACTGGATCCGCAAGCTGCATGATACTGGCACAATAGATTGCCCGATCGGGCAACCAGCAGGTGAGGCTTCATTGCCCGAGCTAAATACTAGATGGCCCCGGGCCATCGGGCAGTCCTTAATGTCGAGCCCTGTGTCAGCGGTTTGCTGGCGGTTCCGTTTTATTTTAAACTATGTTTTTTTTAATCTAATATAAGGAGTCTTTAGCTTCCCTAATCAGTGTTTAACAAATGAGGAAGTTACGACAAAACTCATTGGAGAAGATTTGTTTTTACTTAGTCATACCCTCAAAAAGATCTGTTCCATGGTCAGAAAAAAGTCCAAGAGCATGTTCCAAGAGAAAATAAGATTGTTCCTGTTCAAAGCCCTCAAGGGGCCATATCCAAATGATGAAATGTACCATCAACAATATTAGAGTTGTATCCTATTTCAGCTAAAACATGACTCAAGCACTCAATCACTGACCTTGTTAAACACTTGCACGCACTTTTTTAGGAACTCTCCGGGTTGGTCTTGACCTCGCCCCGTGGGGTTCTGTTTACAAAGACCCTACTGTGGTTGAAACAGATGCTCCTAACCAAACTACCTCTCAGGTCAGAGCCCAAGTTATTCCAGGTGCTTTTAACACTGGCTTACATGTCAGTCTTATCCGAGCATGTCCAGTAGGCACACACAACCTCCATTGACCTCATTAATTTCACAAGCAGATCTAGCGAGCTGGGTGGTTCCAAAAAATGTTTAACCGCACCTTTAATGCATTACCTGTGATGGTCTGCAAACATTTTCCACCAAAATGGTCTTGTTTGAAGTCAGTAATGCAGTTTTTCCCCCCCTTGAATTCACATGCAAGCTTTTAAAAAGCACATTATTTCAGTGGTCAGGGGAAGGTTTATGGACTGCGGAGTCATTAGGGTAAACGGATACCCCTTTGGGATGGGCACTGGTCTTGATGAACATTTGTAATGCATAATTTCTGAGCCATTGGCAAGAGTGGCACACATATATGAACTGATTGCTGTAATAGCAAGATATGGGTATTGTTTTAAGCTCTCCTGTCTTCGGTGCTTTCAAATGGGTAGGTATTAAATTGTTCTATTCCGACGGTACCAGGGCTAATTTTCTTTCTTTCTTTCTTTCCCACCTCACCCCAATGTCGAATCACTGTCAGATGTTGGATGCTTGCATGTCAAAGATTGAAAAGTATAGGCCCACCTATAGTCAGGCCTTTAGGATTGCGCTTGAAAGGGCCCTTCAAGCCCCTTTCAGAATTAGTTTAAGCTTTGTGGTCTGAATCCCATATGACAGTAATTAGGGCACTTAACTGTTCAAAGTTTATCAGCCTAAGATAAGCGTTATCATATCTGAAATGTGCGTTGCCTGATAGAGCCATGTAGTTGGGATTTATTCAAGTAGAACTCTGCGCAGATAGCAGATTTCTAAACTTAAGCAAACATAGCGCTAGTAATTCTTGGAGGGCTTTTGAAGCTCGGGTCTGTGATGTGAAATAGCACTCGATGGAGATTTGTAATGCACTGAGAAGTGGGAGCATTTCACACAGTGGTACCTCTGGGGCCATAGCTGGGTCATGAGCATTTACAGTCAATGAATTGGCCATATGCAGTGGTGTCAAAGAGTCCACGTAAGGCCGTATTTCTTATTCTAACAAGACACAGGCGATGCAGTATGTTGACGCCTGAAAGGATTTGCTCTCATCTGTGAGTTTATTTGGACTGCTGGTTCTACAGTTGTTGGATGACTGGCGATCCTGCACAGTGGAGCTGACACTGAACTAGGTGATGGGTGATAAGTCTCTGACAATGTGGTCTTCTCTGCGGTTTGCTATGTTCTTACCGTATCTTCACACGTGGTGGCTGAATCATTTGGATTTTTTTTATATTTGAAGCACCTACTAGGAGTATTACCTCACAAAGGGTCCCCTCATAATTTGTTTTCAAACAGATCTAATGATGTTATTGTAGCCAGCCTGGCTCTGCCTTTCCTGTTTGATTTAAGCATTTATCAACAAGGGATTATAATTTGATTTTATTAAAAAAGATGATTTCCTTTATTGAATTAGACATGAGACTGCCAGAAGCAGACCGATTGAAACTTATAATGCTTATGACTCTTCATTGCTGTTCAATATAAAAATGCCCAGCTAGATTGTCCCTATAAAGTTCTGAAGCAGTAATAATACATAGGAAATATAATATGCTTGACGTTGCTCGTAACAGTATGTCAAAAAATGCATTTACAAAATGCGACAACGGTGATTTTGGGCATTTCTTGTCAGCGGATTATTTGAAATATTTTGCAACAAGTAATGGAACAGTCAGGAGCCGATAGAGTGAGCCTCCAAATGCTCAGCCAGGTAACCAACTACTTTCCCTGTTCTGTCACTCATGCATCAAATCAGATCACAGGTGCTTACAGAATGCTGAGAAATAGACAATTATTGCCAGAGTTTGTAATTTAATAGACACTAGTTTGTTTTCCTGCCCTTAATATTCTGGGACCTGTAGTATTAAATTAAATTAAATTAAATTATTACATTTGCTGTTACAACCAGTAAAAGGATGGTTGCAGAATCAACCAGGACTGAGACCTAATGATTACCTTTTTATATTATGGGAAAAGAAACTTTGAAGTAGACCAAAAACAGACAGCGATAACTTCTGTCTTATCTTTAAACTGCATGCTTTCTGTCTCTTAGGTCCTTGTGAATGACTTCTTCCTGGTTGCTTGTCTGGAGGACTTCATTGAGAACGCCCGTCTCTTCATCTTCGAGACCTTCTGCAGAATCCACCAGTGCATTAGCATCAAGTAAGTTGCACAATCCAATCCAGAAAAAATAAAAAAGATTATTAATTTACCCCTTTTAGAAGTAAAGATATGGTCATCTGTTCTGGGAATGTCATCTTCGAGCCTGAGGCCTGAAAAACAGGCTCGGGGCTTAACTGGTTAAAGCTAACAGGAAGTCCTAGTTGCTATCACCAGATTTGGTAAGCAGTCGGTAAACAGGAAGTAAGAACATTGGCTTTGTGTTTAGTGGAATTTTCCTCACTGATAAGTGTTTATTGCCCCTTCTACACACAGCCATGCTGACCCCACAAATCTCCAGGATTAAGTATTGGGAGATTTAACTGCTTCCAGGTCTCCACAGGTTGCTCTGCTCGCTAAACTTTAAAGACCACCTGTCCGAGGCCATTCCCAGAGTTTTCTCCTAGGAAGAGGTGGGGTTTAGACAATGTTAGACGTTCCCAGGTGCCATAACAGGCAGCAATCTTTCAGCTTCTTTGCTTTGAGTGAATGAAGGTCAAAGGGTTTGTAAAGTCTTTATTGACTCCTTGCTCAAAATGCAGTTTTGTTGCATACAAATACAATTTACCTTGGATGCCTCTCCAAAACCATGACATTTAGTCAATGCTAATTACAGTGAGCATTAGTGGAGAGATAAAAAACATTATAGTAATTGTCTGCAATTAAGAGAGATTATAGGATTTGGCTGCCCATTTACATCAATTTTAGAGAGTGAGAAAGATAAAGACGGAGCATTAAACCTTGTCAGCCATTAATCCCCATGTTTTGTGCTGAATCTGATCTCTGATATCTATCAATCAATCAATGTTTATTTATATAGCCCAATATCACAAATGTTACATTTGTCTCAGTGGACTTCACAGTTTGTACAGAATATCAGTATGACAATACGACACCCTCTGTCCTTAGACCCTCACGTCGTACAAGGAAACACTTCTAAAAAAGGAAAAACCCCACAGTTTAAAAGGGAGAAACCTCAGGGAGAGCAACAGAGGAGGGATCCCTCTCCCAGGACGGACAGACATGCAGTAGATGCCGTGTGTAAATCGAAGAGATAATACATTTACAACATAGGTAGTCCAAATGTTTAGAAATGCATGTGTCTGTAATAAGAAGATCAATCCACGAGGATGTCAACAATCCTGTGGGAGCCATCAGGGAAGTAGTATGGTGAGTCAGGCAGGACCACAGTGACAGGTTCAGCCACGACTCGAAGTCCAGGATGCAGGGCTCAGGATCCAGGACTCAGGATCCAGGACCACAGCAACAGGATCAGCCACGACTCAGGATCCCGGCGTAGATAGACACCAAAAAGAAATTTGGGGAAGCTGGGTTAATCGGAACATGAGAGTACACAGGTATAGACAGAGAGAAGGAAGAAGTAAGATGTCCCCCGACAAACTAAGCCTATATCAGCAAAACTATGGGCTGAATCTAATCAGCCCTAACTATAAGCTTTATCAAAAAGGAAGGTCTTAAGCGCACTCTTAAAAACGGATAGGGTGTCTGCCGCCCGAACACAAACGAAGCAGATTCTACAAAAGTGGAGCTTGATAAGAAAAGGCTCTGGCTCCCATTGTACTTTTAGAGACTCTAGGAACAACCAACAACCCTGCATTCTTGGAACGCAATGCCCTAGTAGGACAGTAGGGTATAATGAGTTCTTTAAGGTAAGATGGCGCCTGCCCATTAACCTCTTCTACACCGCACCCCCGATACCGGGGGGAAAAACGCGTCATCTGCAGGAAACAGCGTCTGAGGGAAATTCCCCTTCGATTCTATTGGCTCTAACGGTCAAAAAGAGATGTCAATCACCAAAATCGACCAATGGGTTCCAGGGAAACGGTAAAAATGGCCATTTCCACTGAAATCAGAGTTTTTTTTTGCTAAACCTCTCTAAAAAGGTCAAATGTCACTTGTTTTGCATCAATCTTGATACAGGGGTTGCGTTCGGATAGTTTAAAAATCAGCTCCTAAGTTCTAACCCTATCTCCTATTCCTTGACCTCTGAGTGAAACGTTAAGGGATAGTGGATAGGAGAATTCAAAAGGACTTAGGAGAAGAGACTGCGGTACTTTAGAGATTCCGAATGCACTTTCACTATCTGACGTGTTGCGCCAGCGGACGTCATTGTGTGCGCCAGCGGACGTCATTGTGTGCGTCTGCTGCTGTGGGGAAACTACAGTTTTCTATACAGCGGACTACAACATGGATGTTTAATAAGAACGAGGGACTCATCTAGAGACTCTGCACCGTGCTCTGATGCTGTTGTTTTGCTTTATGAACGGGGACAACAGAGAAACATATTCTTCATGACCAAAGTTGGAATTGAAATAAAAAAGTTAAGTGAAACTTATGCTCGTCGTCACCCTCTCCCTCCGGTCCACATTAATACAAATGATCCCAAAGATTGTATGAACTATGAAAAGATCTTAAAATCAATACAAATGTATTTATTATAAACGTTAGTCCTTAACATCTATCACTGTGTATATCACCATTCAAACATCTTTTAAAAGTTGAACAACCCCCACACAGCTCAGTAAAGACTGTGAGATGTTGACTTTATTTGATCATTTCAGTCAAAACTAACGTTCATATTTCTCTTTTTGATTATAATACTGATGAACGTTCAGAACAAAGCACTTTGGCAACTTACCACATACGTTTTAAAATGCTTAATAAGCACCGTAACTTTCATGATATCATTTCTCGGTCATAATCGTTTGTGTCCGTGAACGGCCGACTGTTGTGTGACGTCAAATGCTGCGGCTGCAATGCATTGTGGGGCAGCATTTTCTCCTCTCCTTTCGGTTAGGGAGGTCCAGTGGTTCCTAAGCTAAAGGAGGTTATAAAGGAAGTTTGAAACCTCCTTTCCTATCATTCTAGAGAATTGGAACGGCACTTATCATGGCTGCCACTGAGGGACTTCCGGGTCATTTCACTCCGTTAGGAAGGTTCCTAAGCTAAATGGACTATTCGACTGCAGCCAGGGTACTTATTACATGTTGTACTTTGGATTCCTAAAGCTTTTATTCTACCTTACCATCATCCAAGGGTAGTTTTCACCAAGTAAAAAATAATTTTTGGACGGACACTATAATTTACAGTTTTTTACCATCACTTCAATCGGAATTTTCAAATTATTGCCATCCATAGTTAGTAGATCATTTGTTTCGTAGATTATTTGGGTCGAGTACAATAACTTCAGTTTTGGCCGTGTTTAACATCAAACAATTTAAGGTCATCCATGTTTTTAAGTCCTTGAGGCAGGCTTGAATTTTATTTTGATTGATAAAATAGATGATATTTGGTTATGCATATGTTATTCTTGTGTTTCCTCCCTATTTTACTCTACAAGGTTGCTTCTGCTTTCAGAAAGCTAATTTATAGTCAATCTGAAGATTTGGAGGAAGGTCTGCATTTCAAATATTGTTCAAGAGAAGAAATGAGTTACCTCTGTCGACATGGAAAGGATTGCATTGACTGTTACATAGAGCCGTGGAGGTCTGTAGTCAAGGTTGAATCGAGGAACATGATCAGGCCCCGCCGAAATCTCCAGTTGCAGATTGTCTGGAATTGATTAGGAGTCCTGGTTCTTTTTTGGCAGACTTACTGCAATTGGATCCATTTACTTGTTAAGGACCACAAAGGTTAGTGGTAACACTGAAAGAGGAAGTAAAACGGTGATTTCTCTACTTTTCACCTTTTTTTATTCTTCTTTTGTTGACATCTCTGAAGCAGGAACTTGTATCAGGCGCAGTTTCTGGGATTTCTGTGTTTATATTTGGTGGTGTTATGACGATTGGACACAACATGTCTATTTTTGAAAGACTCCCAATTTCCAAGTCATTAGTCCTCTACCCAGAAGCCGTGTTGCACCCAAGCGTGGACTCAAATGAATTTGATGGCTGTTTTTAATGAGGACATTTTTACGGATGTTGGCCATCATGGTTTCACATTTTTAGCTCGCCCTTTTTGCCTACAGCTTAGAACACAAATGTAGACTAGAAGCTGGCGTAATTGAGTTATTTTACACAATAAAGGTTTATGTAAAATGTACGGTAGGCAGTGGAAATGAATTTCAGCCTGCATTTTGTAATTGCATGCACACACATCCTTTTTGTCTAGACTTTTTTTCTGTGTGTGTTTCCAATTTGGCTTTGTTTTCCTTATTTGATTTACAGGGTTTATTTCCATAGTTGTTCCCTCGGTGGCGAGACCCTTCTATGACCTCAAACACACACTTGTCCTTTGACATTTTGAATAAATGCTTCAGACACACACATGATCATTTGGACCATTTCCCTCAATATTGCATTTGTACACAAATGCTCTTTGGTAGTTGGAATCAGTGTCCTGTGTGTTTGGATCTAACACTGAAGATCTTTCCACCTCACAATTGAGTCATTAAAAAGACCACACGATCATTTTGGTTTCCCTGAAAAATCAATTTTACCCCAAGCCGAAGGCGAGGTTGCTCCAAATGGCTCGGAGTCTCCCAAACTCTATCATATGTTAGTGTTTAACAGTGCACTCTTTTCAGGCCAGCCGTGTTAAGAAGGGAGCTTTTGAGAAGGATCCCCCATCCTCTCCTCTAATGCAGTTAGACCCCAATGTCTGACCCCCTCTCTCCAAGTGTGAGGTATCGAGACCCAAAGGAGTCCCCTAGCCTTAAGTCGAAAGCTCAGGAGCCAGAGTCAGTAAGGGGTCGAAATGAAAGTGATCCTCTTTCCCTCAAGGAATAGAATCATGGCTGTGTAAAATAAAACCAGTCATGGAGGCTGTCTGCTTGGCTTAAGGGCCAAAGGATGTCAATAGTAGCAGTTGTATTGGTCCGATCCATTCCCAGCTCCCACTCATATCTCCCTCTTTTTCTTTTCTTCCCTTCACCCATAAGTTTTAGGTAGCTGCTATACACCTTTTTAGGGAGACGGTGAGATAAAGTAACCCTTCTCTGATATACAAATGTCCTTCCTGGGAGGAAAACATTGCCAGACTTTGGTTTATAAATTAGATTAGACTTCTTCGGCTGATACAGGCCATGGCCCTGGGCCTTTTGGGGGCACCCAGTGTTCCTGTGTTATGGCGCACAGATCACGTTTAGTGGGGTTAGGGGTTAGCGTAACTCCCCGGCAAGGAAACCAGATCATGTTTGTTTTGATCATCATATTTGACCTGGACTTGACTGACATGTGCCCCCACTTTACTCAATTGCCAAACAAAACACCCAGTACCCCTGCGCAGCAATCACTTAATCACACGGGTAACATGGGAACCAATAACAAATTTTATTCAGGTTTGCCTAAGATTACTTGATTGTTAGATAAATAAGAGAATGTCAGTGAATATGTCCGAGTGGTGCTCTTAACAGGTGGTATTCACTGTTAGAGCATTATTCAGAGGTGGGCAAATAAATATATGTATAATTTAAAGAGAAAATTACTTATTTAGTCTCTTTATAAAGTCCCACTTCATCTTACTATGCTATTTATGAATTTGACATTTGATCTAAACGGAACTTCTAATAGACTTTCTCTGTGATCACTGACATGGGTTAGCCATCACAAAACTAAACCTGCTTTATTAGACAGCTGACACTTTCCCAAACTTGTTAGGTTCCAATTATGATCCATATGAGCAATTTGATTGTCAAACCTCTCCAGTTTTGATGCCCTGAGGTGTATTTAGCTGGCCATCAGAGCTATGTTAGTAGATTGTCGGTGTGAGTGACAGGTTCATCAGCCTCTGTGTTTCCCTTTCCCCTCCTCTGGGCTGCTGAGATGCTCATGAATCATCTCACAACTGCTGTTTTTCCATCTCATTATCCAGCCTGCATCACTTACACTGTGGTGAAAGTGTTGAGAGATATGCACCGTCACTCGGAGACCAAGCCTTATTTTTCTCATTATGCTGAAGTAATTCCCTAACTTTTTGTTTGTGCTTTTAATGCCCCATCCAGACTCTGACATCATTTCCCTTCCCCTTCTTTATGTGGTTTAGCCACCATTTAACCAACATTCATGGGTAAGAAAGTAGTAGTATTTTTGAGGTAAGAAAAACATCCCAAATGCTACTTTCCACCAACAGAATGTCCTATAAAGTCCTACTCTGAGAGTCAAAGTTAAAGTGTGTGTGTGTAAAAAAAAGAAAGAGTGATGAATGCAGCAGGAAGTGATAATTAGCAGAGTAAACTGTTTTTTTATAAAGGCCTTATAACCCTTATTATTTTTGTACAAACACACACAGGTTACACACAATGTCAAATTTGTATTTCATTAAGTTCGTACGTTCATACTAACCCTCAGCAGTGAGAGGGGTCTTGTTTTTTTAGATGAGAGGTAGGGGTCCCTGTAGTAATTGTGGGCAGTGCACATAAGCGTTGAGGATATTTATTGGGGCCCTTATATGAAATGCAGTAGGCGTGGAGGATGGTGGGGGTCAGGCAGGAGGAATGGGGGCAGGAAATGCTTGGGGAAGGGGGTCTGGGGGGGGGGGGGTCTAATATTTTGAAAGCCACAAGGGAAGCCAGCTGCACTGTGGAAAGCATTGGATCAAAGAATGCCAGCCACCCTCATACCCCTCCCCCCTTTCTGCTGCGACACATCCAAGTCTAGCTGTATCAAAGAGGGGGCCGGTCTCCAACCTGGCTTTCATTTCGAGGGACAGTCCCCGTTTGACCAGCGTGTCATGACAGGCTTTAATGCCAGGTGGGGAGAGAGTGTGTCCAGCACAATGGCTCAATAATAATAAGAATAAGAAAAGTAGCCACGGGTGCTCACAACATGGGGTCGTCCCAGCACCTCTAATTGACTTATTCCTTCAAGTCTGTAAATCAAGCGTCCATTAGTAGACGACCATTAGAAGTGTTTTTCGGCTGCGTTTCATTCTGTACACCTTTTTGCCCCAACCAAATACGCCGGCCATTTATTAGCAATGTCAATGGGAAATAATGTCACTTGGCACCTAATGGGAAACATCCATCATATGTAGTGTGGTGTTGACTGAGTTATTTGTTGCTACTACATATTTCCTATATGCATCAACACTGGCAGGCTAGTTTAATTAAAGTGTCTGTTAGTAAATGACTTCTCTTACTGAGGTATTTGTAACCGCTGCAGTTATTGTCTTTGATTTTAATAAAAGCCCTGTGCAGATTAAAAACATATTTTGGTAAAGACAGACGTGCTTTAGTAATAATGAGAGTAGTACTTTCAGGTTGTTTGGTTAAACCATGAAATGGCATTCTTTAGACATGTCATTTGAGCAAGAAAATGTTACAATATATGTGTAAGGCAAAAGTAGCTCCCTCAAAAGATAAAGGGGGTGAATTCATTTCTTTTTTGTTGTGTTAGAATATGGTAATATGAATCTCATTCAGCCAGTGCTAATGATTTAGTCCTTAGCCATGGCCAAAATTATTGCGTCCTCTCTTCATTTTCAGGGACAATCTGTCCAGCACGGAGACAGGCCCTCCTACCCTTTCTGTTGGCTTGTGCTGCATTCAGGACAACTCGGAACTCGATTATTTTCAACCTTCTAGCAGAAAAAGTACAATGAAACGCTGAAAGTTCACCTTCCTAAATTCAGATGAAATCAATCTACCCCAACTTCATGAAGTAGTAGTTGTGTGAAATCACACAACATTGGACGCCCACGTTTGTAATGGTAAACCATCAACTAAAAGACAATGTACAAGATATGTTCCTGTATTGAAAAAATCTATAACATGGTAAAACCTGATCCTTCAAAAGGGGAGGCTGCTTTGGTAAGAGTTTAATTGAGAGTAGACTTACAAAAGAAACATCCGTTCGGAGCCATGTTTTTGTTTGATGTGGTGTACTTGGAACGCTTGAAGGTCGGAGGTTTGATTGAAGGTCAGAAACTGGCTACTTCAACTAGGAAAGTCAAACTTTGACTCGAACGAAGTATCATAGATGGGTTCTGGTCTCATGTATCTCTATTTCTTCAACAGCATGCTGGCAGATAAACTGAACATGACGCCCGAGGACGCTGAGAGATGGATCGTCAATCTTATCCGCAACGCCAGGCTGGATGCGAAGATAGACTCCAAACTGGTGAGACCTCCAGTCTTCTTCCTCAATTAACCGGCTCAGCACTTATCTAATTAATCAAAGCTTTTTAAATGTCCCTCTGCAATCCGGGGGTGGTACTGACAGTCAAATAGCTTTTAGATGCTCCTCATGTGTGACTTCAGAGGCATAGGAGGCATTATTTATGTCCGGATTTTGTAATTGAAGGGTAAGGACATTGTAACCATAATATATCACCCTTGCTAGGTCCTTTTTGTGAGGCTCCTTGTTGAACCAACATGCTTTGGACTCCACATCACAACAGTTCTCTGTAATCAGCAAAATCATAGCCCAGTCCTCCAGAATGACATAGAATTAGAGTAGAGTCGATGTGAACAGGACCACTGGTTGGTGTTTGTAGGATGGCGTGTCTGTCAGACCAAATGTCATTGGCTTTTTTATCGTTTTTGTGAAACCATTGTGCACTTTTTGTCTGTTTTTTCTAGGGCCATGTGGTCATGGGGAACAACGCCATCTCACCTTACCAGCAGGTGATTGAGAAGACCAAGAGCCTCTCGTTCCGCAGCCAAATGTTGGCCGTGAACATTGAGAAAAAGCAGGCCCAGAGCACCAAGACCGAGGTGAGTAACGCACACACTGTAAACAAAAAAATTGCACACCCTTCACAGGCTGTTGCTGAAGGCAACCATCCCTCCCTTTTTTAAACCGATCAGATTGCCGAGAAGGTCAACACGAACTCAGGGGTAGATCAAAGCGTTCGAAATGATCAGCTCGAAAGAACAAGGCCAAAGAATGTTGATGAACAACCATCAACAAAAGCTCTCTTTACACGAAATAAGCCAGTAAGAGCAAGTTTAACAGAGCTGACGCTTTCATCCTTCTCCATTGCTCTTCAAAGGCCTAATGACAAGGTAGAATCCAAACAACCATAAAACGATGCCTGGGCTCTGACTCAGCTCAGCAGCGTAAATAAGGTGGACCCTCACACAGGCTTTTGGTGCACATTACTTAAAGCCTGGAGTTCCCTGCACTTAGGACCTGCTGCAGATGTCTGGCTCAGGGTCCAGTCATTCCACTTAAGTGTGTTTTTGATGTTGACCTTGTGTGTTTTAGTGGTATGTAGGACCGTTCAAGCACTCCCAACTACACAGAGTGTCATAATCACGCACATACTCTGAACGGTGAGCCGTTGCCTCCCCACTCCTTGAAGACACGCACGTCTGTCACATCAGATTGATGGGCCCGACACCTGACAGCACCAAGGCCACGGAGTTACAACAGACATGTTAAATGTTTACTTTTTAACTCTCGAGTGGCTGTCTTTTGATGTGCTCAATTACCCCTAACCCTATTGTTTGAATATCTGCCGCGGGAGTGCTGCCATAACCCTTTCCCGTTAAAAAAAGAAAAAGACCCCCCTCATTAAGGAGTTTTTGTAATTAGACAAAAGAGTCTGCAAAGGGCTCACAGAGCACCATTACATCCTGCTGTCCTCAAGGCTACAAATCACTTACATATAGAGAGCATTTACTGCCTACCATCTGGGCCGGCTGCTTAGGGTCCCTGTCAACTCTCGCAGAGAAAAACGTCAGCACTTAACTGCTTGCACATGTATGATACTTTTTCACATTTCCCATAAACATTTGTTTTGATCGCTATCCGTCATCTTCTAATTTTCCTCTTTCTTTTGTTGCAGACACCCAACTGGGCAGGTACCGAAACTGGATTTTAAGCGACACAGTGAAGATGGATCCATCCTGTTTTACATTGGAACTTTTTCCAATCTTTGTATCTCATGAAGCACAGTGCTGACTTGTTTAAGTCATCACCAATTCAATAAAAGTGACCAACATAACAATTTTCACCCATGATTGCCTTATTTCTCGACATTACAAGCGGCGGTTTGAGGTCTGAGTGGTCAGACCTTTTTCTATCTGTAATACTTGATGAAGTTTTAATGTGCGCATTGAGTCACCGACTGGGACAGTTAAGACTGCTGTGTGCGATGCGGCTCATGTGTGTGCAGTAATGATGAATGGCTGTTTAGTCTGTTGGTTTTATGGTGTTTTTAGTGGTTCCCTTCAGCGTGGCGGGCAGTCTCTCTGAGTGGGACGTCAGCTGGATGGGGGCAAGCAGAGGTGATGTACAGTTAGCAGCGGTCACACACTCTGCCAGTCATTCTGCCCATCTGAGGACATGAGAGAGCCATAAAGAACCATTAGCCAGACGGACACAATCTTTTTAATGCCCCGCCCCGCCCCCGCTCTTCCTTGCCTTCGACCTTCTCATAACTCAGTCCTCCGCCTCTCCGTTCCTCCTTCTTTATCACAATTGCTCACAAACAGGCTTTCATTCCTTCACATGTCTTTAATTGACCTCTACTTAGGGTATCTTTTTCATACTAAACAAGGATTTTATGTAGAAATGCACCTGCTTTATTAGGCTAAGTCTGAAAGTGGAATGTGTCATCTCTCCACGAAATGACTCTTTAACAAGGAATATGTTTTTCAGAAAAGAAGAAAAAAGGACAGGTTTTCAGCCCTACCACTTAAATCATTGCCATAGAAAAAGTTCCAAACTGGGCCATAAACGTCTTTTTAAGAGGGAATGAGGCTGCACTGCTTAACGTCAGTCAACACTGTGAAACATGCAGGTGGTTTACGCACCTAGTCCCGATCCACGAGACCAAAAGCATGAAGCTCCAGTCATTCAGCACCACTCTGTTTTCCTTTCCATTGGCTTTGTTTTGACCTATAATAAGTCCCGGCCACCAACCACAGTGCTTCAAGGTGGTAACTGCAACGTGTCTGAATGGTGGAGCACACTAAATGTTTTTTTAGAAGTAAAACATTTAAAAAAAAAATGGGAATCCGATTAGCATATTGGCTTAAAACCCAGGAAAACTGGTTAAGGATCTGGTAAAGGATCTTGCACTTGTATCATTGCTGGGATGCCTTGTTCGCCAAGGAGGTAATGTTTTTGGCTCTTGTTTTGTCAAAAGGTTACGGAAAAACAAAAAGCCCAACTTGGTTGAAGGGATTTGAAGAGACCTAAATCGAAAGATCTAAATCACTACCTTTCATTGACATTGCAAAAGGACATTTCGGCTGCATTCTTGTGGTGTTGGAATAACAACAATTTCAAAATGTCATTCATAGCAAACAATATCAACATGTTCTTTAAGCGCTCTTAACAATACAACCTCTTATTTTTAGCGTTCCACAATACAACTTGAAGCTCATGAACAAGCAGTATGACTTCCCTACACAGGAAACGGGAGCTTGTGAAGGCATTGAGAGATCTGAGGCATCTGAGATCTGCCCTCTATTCTTTTTATGAAACAACTAACTTGTTTGTGTTAATTTAGGATCCCGTAATCTAATAGAGAAATTGGGTTTCAGGGCAATTTTTAAGTAGCATTTGTCAACCAAAAACATGCCTACATGGGCTGAATTGCATTTTCAAAATATACTTTGACTATATCACATTACTAAAATCACTAAATCTCACTTTCAGAGAAATTACGATACGACATTTGGCTGCATTCCCATGGTGTTAGAAAATGCTGTCAAAATTCGATCCCGACTTGAAACATTCAGAGAAAACGTTATCAACGTGTTGTTCAAACCCTCATAACAATAACATACATGTTCTTTGTAGCGTTCAGCATTACGGCTTTCATATCATGAACAAACCAACATCGGAAGATTTCCCAACACGAAAACGGTACCATCTGAAGAAAGAAGAAGACATACTGTATTCATCCCTTACAGGGAAATTGGGAGCTTGTTTACTATCTCATATTCCAGAATTTTACAATTGTACTGTACAAGCGTTGATTTGCATATTCGAAAGATCATACCATATCACATAATCTTCATCAACTAATTTACATTTCTTATATTGGAGATGTTTACATTTCCAATTTTCCCAATTCCTTTTTCAAATCAAGCTCCTGTTCAAATAGACTTCGAGGTAAGGCAGTTTTGTCAGCTACATTTCACAGTAACAATAAACTGTATTTCAGGTCTTTAACGTAGCAGCTTTGTTTGTGAATGTCATGTTAGATTATTTCTGGACATTGAAGTTTGCCTCTTGCCACAAACATGGAGTTTCTAAGTATAACTTGAACTTTCCCAGTTTTCCTCATCCTCTGCCTTGACATTTTCAAGATTGGAGATGACCACTGTGGTTTGGGACCATTTTCCCTCTTACCTAGTAAACTGTGACGAGAGCCCACGCTGAGCGTCCAATTATGGATGTGTGACGGAGGGTGGGGGCCGGGTGTAAGAGCAGCTCCCTTCATTGCTGTTATGGCACTGAGGGCTCGGAGCCAGACCATCCGAATGCTGACGTCACCCCCACTTATGTGCACTGCAACGTGCGAGGGGAGGAGGAGGGATGGAGAGAATAAAGTGATTGGTTTACCGGCCCCCTTCTCCATGACACATCATGAAAATAAAAGTGCCCCGAGGCCTAAATTATCACGTTCACCTTAGCCGTGCACTCTCTCATGTTGTTTTAGGAGAGGAACCCAAACCCAAGGCAGTGGGTACACCGCAATGTCTGTCGCTGCTCTCTGGATAAATAAATAAACAAAGGCAGGACAAAGGTCACTGTAGTGTTTGGCAAGGAAACCACGATTCATCTTTTTTTTGTTTTACATATTGTGAGAGGCCCCCCCCCGCCCCTTCCCCCACATATATTTCTTAAGCAGTTCCAAATGGAAACGAGTGTGTTTTCTAACTGAAGGATATGTTTTTGTTAACTGGTTTATCTGGCAAAATCAGTATTTGAATTATTATGTTTAATATTAAAATGGGAGGTATGTGTCTTCTTTGTGAGGACAAAAACATTTACATTTTTAACAGTTTTATCAAAACATTATATTTTTTAATAATGAAAGTTTGTTCCTTGATTTACACTAGTTTGGCTCATGTAATCACTCATGGAAGATATAACTCTCACATGTGAATCATTTCCTAAAATAAATAACAGATTAAGTGCCACACCTAGTGGCAGAAGGGGGTAGGGCATTCACATCTTCCTCTCCAATAAGCTATTAGACGGTGAAGCAAATAATGCCATACATGTTTTGTTTTTTCAAATACATTTCCCCATAACTACAATGTGATTATTTTCCAATGAGCCTCTTTGACTAACTTTATGAACACCACTGTCACATTTCATCTCTGGTCTGTAATTTGAATGTCACAGAATAGAGCGATGGATCGTTGCCAGCCCTCTCGTATGCCCCCCCCCCCAACCCAACACAAGGTAAATTCTAACTGAAGGACAATCTGCCTCCATTGCCCACCTCACATGTTGTGAGAGGCCCTGGAGAAAAAAAAATGTCTGAAATTATTGAATGATTTATTCATGTCCCACAATTACAGCCTCCCCAACGATTACCATTAATTTCAGAGGAAGGGGGGTGTATTGCTGGGTGCGCAATAAAACAGGCGTGACGAGATGGTTGATTTGCGGGCCCCCATCATTACGCACATTGTGTAGATAATTGCCTTTTTCTTGGTTAAACCTCCAATTATTCAATAGGGCCGAGATAACTAGATTAACTGAGTTATTTTGTATCTAAAATGGAGACACTTTAACTTGTAATGTATGTAGGCCATAATGTATTTGTAAATAAAAAAATAATCACTTTTTGTTGTGTTTAATATTATAAGAAAATGGGATCGCCATTAATTCATAAATAATTTAATATAAAAATACCCTAGATGTTCTTTCTCCGCCGCAGACAAGCTGCAATCCCTTTTCCACTTTTTCTTTTCTTTTTTTAAAACGACTATTTTTCCCTGTGATGTAGGCCTAGCTACACTAGGACCCAGAGGCGACCTCATATACCGGGCACTGTGGGTGAGTGGTGAGTGCACGCAGGGGGGTGGGGGTTTGACTACACTAAATGTCATCTCCAACATCTGAAATAAGAAGAAACACAAAACGAGAAAAATATCCACACGTGACAGCGGCACGGTGCTATATGAGCAAAAAGGCAGCAAGCATCAGGACCAGTCTGGAGTTCAGCAGCAACCCCGCCACTCACTCTGCGCTCACTGGCTCTCCTTCCCCGTTTTAAAGAAAGCAAACACATGTGAGTTTCTGCCGCTCTTACTACAGAAACACGGAGCGGATAACTTGAGTGAGGAAACGCAGGTAAAGGGAATCTAAGTTTTTTGTTTACAGAGAGGAAAGAAAAGGGGAAAGGAAATCCCCTCCTTTTTTTACCACGACCACCTTTTTCCCTCTTTCTCGGACTTCTCTTAACAAGTTTCTCACACAAAGAGGGATGCTGCATGTTCCCGAGCCGCACTTGCACTCAGAGGGAACCTAAAAAAAAGTGCACCGGAGCGGAATTACACACTGCAAGGTATACACCGACACGTTATTCCACGGAGCGACTATTACGCACGGCTGCGCTTGTTTTATTTTTTTTGGAAGGGGCGTTTGCATCCACATTAACACACAGAATATCTTTTCTCCCCCCCCCCCCCCCCCTCTTATCCCCCAAAGCATCATTGTTTAGGAAGGTGTTGATTTCATTACAGTGTTATCACAGTTAACCTCCTTTGTCATTCTCCCCGCAGCGCAACAAAGCGGACACTTGTATTGACTGGAGGATCAGCGCGCTTCATAAAATGATCCCAATTGGCGGCGCGATAACATGTCGCATCCCGTCTGATGATTGACACATTTGAGGATCGACTTAAAGAAAAAACTGGAGGAGGACATTAGAAAGTCAGAGAATTCGTCCTGAGCCACATCTGCTGGCATCTTCTTCTTTTTCTTCTGGAGTCCGGACAACAGATCACCGTCCAGATGCAGTTTCGACTCTTCTCATTTGTG